TTCCAACTTCGATCAAATTTTAAAACCCTGGCGTGTATGGTTTAAAGGTTGAGATTATATAAGGAATTTATTGGTCTTCGACGTACCAAACAGAAGACCCACAAAATAAATTTACAATTGTACTTATTTGCTTCCGTTTGTTTTAATTCTCATAGAATTACTCGTATAAGTGCATTCTGTGAAATAACTAAATGAACCACACTCGAAAATCTGTTTTAAAGCTTAGTGGATGTGTAGTTTTTTTAAAGTAGATTTTAAAACGCATGTTCTGCCCCCTCACACCGTTGCGAAGAACGGGTATGGAAACTACAGTTCGACTTATCATAGTTACCCGTTTACCAATCTCAATTCAGCACTTGTTTGGCTAGTCTTTTATCCTTTAATTTCTTTTATCTCACAGTTGCGTAATCTGGGTAGCTGCGTTGTTAAAGCACTCGCATACTAGATCGAAAACAAACCACTCTGTCCTCAATCCATAGGCTTTTAATCGTCTTTTGATCGTGGCTTCTTGGCTAGCTGATCCAGTCAACACTCATCCTTCAGTCATATGGTGTGTCGGCGTTGTTGAAGTGAAATCAAAATTTTTAATAATTTAAATTTCAAAAACCCCAGCTGCGTCAACTGTAGGAGGTCAACTATCGTCAAGCACATCTCTCCCAGCTGGCCGAGTTTATCCCATTTGTGTCACCTCGCCAGTGGGCGGCCTGCACCCTGCACATTCTCGGCCCACGACCGCTGATTTGTTATCTCCTGATCAAGGACGACTGCACTTTCAGTTTCCTGCCTTCTGGCTGCTCGCCTTGCACCGTCTCGCCCGGTGTCTTCGCCCGACCAGACGAGAGCACAAGTCGACGACTGTAGTGTAGTGTTAGCCTAATTCACAACTGTCGAAAATATCATCGCATCAGGTGTTCTGAACAAGTGCTTCAGTTACCCTTCATGAAACGGTAGGGACTTGAATTGATTCTAACAGCTTGTAGCTGGTGATGAGTGCATGAAATAAAGGTGTATGACTAGGATCGGTTGAGAGTTTTCATGCACAAAAGAATTATAATTAAATCCGATTGAATTTAATTGTTGGGCCTGATTATGCACCTTTCCAGTTCTACAAGTATTCTCTGGGGTTCTACGGTGGACTGTTGTATAGTTTGCTGGCTGGGTTTGGATAGTTATCTGAAGCGTTGGATTTCTACAGTTCCTATGCTCTTAAACAGACTGTCACTTCTCTCTTAGTTATGTTGTCTGAACATCCCATGATGTTGTCAGACGCTACCTTTATACACCACGATGGTCATTGTCTCTGTTGTCAGAAGCAATGTTTCTAACTTAAAATATATAAATTAAAGATACCCACTGTCTTTCTTCCCAGAAGAACTATTTATGCGTCTTCTCTACCGTCAATATATCCACCAGCGTCAGTTGACCAAGCACTATCTCTATCTCACAACCAAAATATCTGTCTCTCTTCCACCGTGATCCGTATTTTTGATCACCCTGTACTGTCTTTATCCTCATAATATGTATGCATGTCTTTTCTCTAATCGCCAATACCACACTGTCTCGGCCGTCTCTTATTACTATAGTACTTCTCCAAATCGCCACGTCCTCATTACTGACGTGTGTGTGCGTGTGTAAGGTCAAGGTCAAGGTCCAGCCCCAGGTTCGGCAACAGACCCTGTGATCCAGCGGTGTCAAATGTCAATCATCCTCAGTTTAAGAACACATACCTCCGCCCACGGTTACCTGTCTGGGCAGCATCGCTTGCCAATCGTCTTGCGAATTGTCCCAGGTGAATGTTTAACATGAGGATATTTAAGAGTTAAAGGAAGATTGGAAGAGAAGATGAGTGAAGGATGAGTGTTCAATAAAAACGATAGCTTTGTTATTGACTAAGATCAGCTGGTTCTGCTGTCATTTATCTTCCGCCAAATAAGGCAGGATAGCTTGGTCCAGTTAGTTTACCAGGCAAGAACTTCTCTCTGGTACCCAGCTACTTTATGTCATATGTTTTGACGCCATAGTTTGTTGTTTAAATTTGGATTGTTTACATTTAACTTATTTGATGTAAATAAAGAGCAATCCTAACGACCAAATTTGGAATGACTGTATAGGTAAACTTGTTAAATCACAACAAGAACAAGGATGAACTAACTGATTATCCCTATACTCTAAGATGCACTGTCGATTGTCCCTAAAACTTAAACTCATTACAACAGGGGTACCTAAACAAACTATTTCGGTATTCCGTATGGAAGAAATCTCTTTGACCTTAGCCACCAGATTCGGACGCACAGCATTGTACCTAGTCACTAAATCCGCCAATACAAAAACTACTATAAAGCCCAACACCGGCAACCCAGAATGCAAAGCAGGATCGTTTCACGCGCACGTGTGAAGTGACTTTAGTTTTGGCCATTTCGTCCTTTATTGCCATCACCCTTGGAGGTCTTTTACAGTTCGTGTTTTCCCCCACCTGTGTTAACGTTAGATTCGCCTGACGAAGGACATTAAACTCCCGCGCTTTTGCCGTCCCCGTGCATCCGTTACCGCGTTTTCCGCGGAACTCGCGTCTTTTCCGCGCCGTTGGTTTTAACGAGGTAATTACCTTAGTCGAGACAGATGCGAGATACGTGTGTGTGTTGGTGTGTTAGTGTGTATGTGTTCACTCTCGCACTTGTATATTGCCATCATTACCTTGCAATTCTACGATACGTTCCCGCGACAAGTGGCTGACTTTCCCGGGCTTTTTACCATATTTGTGTACCTGCATGGGGGTACGGTCGTGTTAGCGATGTCCCTCGAGCAAATTACTCGTCGACTAACTGGTCATGTCACTAAACAAAATGATTTGTTAGAACATTTTAAGAGAAGCTATTTAACACGTAATGTCATGTATTTCTATGTAAAATACGCTTTTGGGTGTACATGTTAAATATTTTAGAAAATTACGTTCTACACGTTCCTTTGCGAGTTTTTTGTAATAACATTTCTTACAGGAAACCTTCATTCGCTTAAACACAACTGAAAGTATGCTCAATTCTAACAGTCATTTGACAGCAGTTTTCACTCTTTCCATACTACTAATTTGGGAATGCGCCATTGTAAACTAAGGAGGTTTGTTGGATGGTTTACAGTGCTTCAATACTGTTGTTTACTTTAAAAGATTAGATCAGGGGTATTGATAATGTATTCATATTAAGTTAATTAAATTTAATTCGAACTTTTACCCCAGAAAACTTGGATCCCCAAAAGTTTGAATTAATGGAAGTTCTTGCAATGAAACAAATGTTAACCTTGGTGGTTTCAATAAGAGACAATCAGCAACCTTCGACCCTATCTAAGTATGTGTGACATTAATGTGCTCAATTCTTCAAACAGCCCAAACTAGGTGAAACTACCAAATAGTTGTTGACAACTTCGAAAATCTTATAAACTGTTTCAAAGGGAGTTCTACGCAGCAAAAAGGTGTTTGGGTGACAGGCGTAAATGTGTGAATGTCATAAATCCTTCTCGGTTTTTTGAAAAGGTTTTCCTCAAATAGTTCCTAGGATGTGCAGCAATTAAATAGAGGCGAAGATAAAAAGAGATGACAAAAAATAGCCAGGTATGGGTAAACATTCTTTCCGATTGTTTTCAAGAGCAGAGGAATCAACAAGTAAACGTTGACTTCTGCTTCGCTAAAAGCCAGAAAAATGTTCCTAAACATTGGTTGCTGGTCAAAGAAGTTGCAACATTATAAAAACCCTAAAGATGTTCCGGGACCTAAAGACCTTTCCGAAATGTATGCAACTATTTGATGGAGAAGAAGCGGTGACGACTTTAAATAGCACATCAAGTACAACAATAATATTAATTCGCACCACTTCGATCAATACAACACATTGAAGTTCAATGCCGACCGTTATTTTGAGTAACGAGGTGTTTTCAATTGTCGATGCAATTCCGTTTATTGGAGTTTTATTAAAAGAGATCGGCGAATGATTAAACCACGAGGCCATTGTACAATCGCGATGTCATTGGTTGACAAACTTGTAATGTCACATTGTCACTGGCCTGTAACTGTAATTTGGATAATATGATACATACATTTCCTAGTATAACTGTTTGTACCCATTATTTTCCGCTACACATATTGTGTTCAAAATATATATGTTTGAATGTTAAGTTATCTCTGAATTTGGATACTTAGATATATGGAATTGAAAGCGATCACCACTTACCATATTCCATATGCATCTTGTAAGTAAATAGTACGAGTGTAATAATATGTTTAAGCGTGTTTAAACGTCTATTTATTTACTTGCAGTAAATTTTACAACATGCACTTTAGTGATTAAGAAATTGTGTTATTTTATCTGGATTTATGAAAGGACTAGGGAGGTTGATGAACAGTTGTTTTCCGTAGAATATATGTTGAGCTATTGACAGTGCAGAGGTTGTGTATAGGTCCGTCTTCACCTTCAGCTTCAGCTTTAAGGCATTTCGAAACGTAATCCTTAAATACCTTATATAACCCGAAAAGGCCAAGATGAAATGGTGGACAGTAGGGCGTTATGCTGCGACCTTGTCTGCTTAATCAGCATATAATACCGGGCCTGCCATACACGGCAACCGGTCCTCGAGCCGTCAGAAGCCAAAGTCTGGCTCAGCACGCTGCACTTCCCGCGGCCCTCTCACTTTCGTCCGCAAACGAGGGTTCTTCCAAGAATTGGTTGGTTATTTATCCTCAATAACCCTTCTAAGAATCGCTGTATATCCTATGTTGATCAAGAATCACTGTTTTTCTGAATTCCCCAAGAGCACCAAAATCGCATTTTCCTTTCTATAATCTTACCAATATTCACTTTTTCTCTCTTGAGGACCCCTTTCCAAGAATAGTTGGTTCCATCTCAAGGTTCTTTTCAGGAATTGCTGTTTGACCTCTACAAATAAAAAATATATTGGTTTAATTCATGCTCAAAACATTTAAAGGTTTTTAAATGTGTTTGTATTTGTTTCAGAACCGATTTCAACTACGAATGTCCAGTCACCGGACGATCAACAGGCGGCGAGTCCAGAAAAACTTACGGAAACAGGTAAAAATACAGCATGGAGTTTAGTGTTGTTTGTGAAATTGTGTAAAATAGCATTCACGATGTTATAGTACGGTTTCCGATCAGCAAGTGACATTTTACAGCATTTAGTACACCAGTCCATATTGCAATATAACTTACCCTTATTACAAAGGTTTTAGATTTTTCGGGGTTTTACCTTCAGGAGTTTTACGCACTGCTTTCAATTTTTTTGTTCAACTCTTGAAGAGTTCTTAGGCTCTTCTTGCGTTGTAATTCCACTGAATCGGACAGTTATATTGCGGATATCTTAGATTACGTTACTTGACATAATCTTTTATTGAACATTATCTATAGTATTTAACTTGTAATAGGCTACTTGTATAATTTGCAAGGTGGCCTTGCTTAAGTAAGTGTGTTACTTCAAAGAGATCATATGGAAATTATGTTTAGGAAAAAAGAAGAGAGGTAGAAAAGTAAAATTATGACTAAACAAAGGAACGAAATTAAAAAGAATTAAATCTTAAATATGATAAAGAATGGGAGGAGTGATGCAGAGGCAGAAAGTGAGTTAGGAGAAGGAAATGAAGACATGTAGAATGAAAAATGGAAGAAAGAAAGAACGAAAAACAGATAGGAAGATCAAAAGTCTGGAAAAAGAGAATCTGCTTACTCCACAGTTGTCACCAACTCCATGGAAACTGAGAGCGAAACCGATCTGCAGCAGTGCAGAGGTGCAGCAAGCAGCTGCGGCGGGCAGAGCCGCGGGCAAAACGACAAAAAGAGCGGGAGTTACAAGCAGCTGAGCAGCTGTGCAAAACATACAAAACAACAAGATTTACCGCGCGCGGCCGAGATAATCAAATTGCAAAAAGCAAAGGAAGGCGCGTATCTCCGGTAGCAGAGACGGAGCGGCGAGTAATGAGCAGAGTCAGAGGTGATGCTGACCCAGAACCGCATTAATATTTATCGCACGCCATTTACAAATGCGTCGCTGTTCTCAGCAAACACTCTAGTGCTCTTCGGCGCTTCTACCTGAATCATTCGTGTAGTAACAGAAAGACGTTCTCAATGTTACTATACACATTGTTAAAGTCATAGAAGAGAGTTTTACAACAATAAGAAGAATTCAGGGAATCAATTGAGTTGTCCACCTAATTCAAACAATAATGAAAACTAGAGAGGTTGTAAGGCCAACCAAATATCTCTGGGGATCATCCAAATTCTATGTGATGCCAAATATTCCAAATGAATCACTGTGTCAGTGTTTAGATACATCGATTCTTATTTCGTTGTTGAAATTAGTTTGTCGTAAGGATTGTCACAATGTTCCCGGTTCCCAACTACAACCCAAATGCGCCGTAGAAGAATATCTTGTGACCGTGACTATACAATCTAAATTTGGACAACTATTAAAAACTCCCTAACTTGTAATATGTGAATTTATTGTACCCAAAAGCATTCCAATTCTTCGCACTTCGCATCAACCAATCCAACTTACAACAAGGCTACTCGTGTTCTAGCCTTCTTAACCCTCATGGCGAAAACCCTCATACTTACTATAACTCAATTTGTTTACACCCCGATTTGCACGAATCTTTGGACTTGTGTTCCTACCCACAACGTAATGTTTTGCAACTTTTATAGTCTATACGTTTCCTAAAGTCTGACCCATTACGCCCTACCAACAACTAGCCTGCTTCGCAAAACCTCTCTTTAACTTACCAGAACATACTTTTCGTATCCCGAAGCCTATGATTTTTAGCGCCGCACTTCCACCTACAATCCCAATTCCCAATTTCGTACCCCGAATCGTCTCGTCCCGTTGTCGAATGTCGTGTCGCGTGTCCGGGAAGGCATTGTGAGCGGCTTGTTACCCGCGGCCAATTTGTGGCAAGGGCGGCCACGACGCATGCTAAAGTAGGTAACGGGCCCCAGTCTAGCATCTAGGTCTAGAGTGACTCTAGGCTGATATCACGGACATGCAAATGCTGTCAGGTCAAGTTTCAAATTGGAGGACGTTACTTGAAATTCTAAAAAACATGTTTCTAGGATGGTAGATTCCTGCACTTCTTCCTCTTCCAGGGTCCAGGCAACGCCTCATACGATTTTAAACTACCCCATCACGACAGACATCTTCGTGCATCTCTCTTTTCGGTTGTAATTAAATCCTACGGTGTCTAAATTAGTTAGAATAGTTTGGGTTCCAAACCTCTTTAGTTTCATAGGTAATTCCGTACCAAATCAGTGTTAAAATTTTAAAAATATACATTATAAAATTTGGTTTTAGATTCTGCAACGTGTTCTATCTGGTTGTAGAACACCTACTCCTTCTCTGGTTGTATGATAGTCCTGGGATTTTGTATATAATTGGTGGTGATCTCTTTGACCTTCTATTTTTTTCGTCTACGAGGATCACGCACTTTTCGCGTGGGCGTATCAGTCAAAGCAAGAGTAAAAGCCGGTGCGACCATAACGTAGGCTACTGAAAAAAGTCTGTGGTACTGATGAATATTATTGGTGGCATTGGGGCACTAACTCAATGCCTATTAATTGGTGCATTGGAACTCATTGTTAATTCGTAGTCAATCGCGTTGCCGACTCACTGAATGGAGTTTGTCATGCAAAATAAGATGTGTTCTTCTAATGTTCAGTGCTTAGGCTTGGTGCACTATTCGCCTATTGAGTAACATAATGCGTACTAGAAGTTAATGCGGTATGGCATTGGAGTACTTTGATGCATTGGAATATTCAATTCATTTTCTGGCATAAAGCTTAGGGTGCGTTCACAAAGAAAGCTGGTTACAAGTAACTTACTTTCAGCGCTTGTTCTAAGCGCTTGAGCATGCTGTTGTGTGTTCACAACAAACGCTTGCATTTCAAGCTCAGTGTAGTCTCAGCTCTGGTCGAGACAATATCTTCTTCAAGTGATGAAGAGTTGTTTTTGATTGCAAATGTAGAATTAAAAATTCGTAGAAGAAAAGTAGGTGTTCATTCAATTATTATTATGCACCTACCGCGGAAGAGGTAGGTTCGGGGAATACCACCATCTATTTCCTGAATTGAAATTGGACAAAGTGAGATTTTTTCTTATGTATGAGAATGGAGCTAACCACGTTTAATTCATCCTCAATAAAATTGAAAGTGTTTTAGTAAAGTTTTCGGGGAATTGGCATAAGCAACCTAACCATGCACCAGAACGAATTTTGAACCAATAAAAAAAAACCTAAAAATACTCGAAGGGAGTTTTAAACACCCTATGTATCTGATTAATTATGATGCAAATAATATTGTGAGATATATTCAAATGTTTTAATTTTCTAGGTAAATAAAGTAAAAGTATACAAGTTTCATCTATAAAAAATCCAACACCTAATTAATATTGAATTAAATGTGTTTGTCTATCATCTTAGTACATATATGTTATATTTGACCTTTGGGTTACGTTATTGAGCATTCTAGGGAAAACCCACAATACGTGGGTATATATTTTTTTGGGAAATTGGAAGCTCTAAATACTTGAGCTATCAACTCATCGCACTGTTTAGTAGTTTGTAACTGACTGGTTCGGTCAACAAGCGCCGGAAAACAAGTATGAAACGTTCTTGCGTGCTTGTCAGAGCTTGTAACAAGCGCTTGCTAGCCGGCACAAGCTTTGTCTGTGAACACACACGCTTGATACTATGTTGACTTTTCTCACGCCGGTTCGAGCTTGCAAGCGCTTGCCAACAAGCGCTTGTAACCAGCTTTCTTTGTGAACGCACCCTTAGTCTTCCAGGTTTATTTTCGTACTTTCAAGAAGTTATTCTTATTTCTTTTAGTGTGGTCGAACTAACTTAAAATCACAAAGCGTTTCTATCGCCTATAGATCTTTCTAAGATTGTATCTACTCATCTTAACAATCATACAATATCGACTTAAGATCAGTCTTATTTTCAAATTGACCGTTAAACTAGGTTTTGGTGGAATCAATCTCCATCACGTTTACAAATTTGAATAGAAGCCATGAAATTGCCCACTTTATGTGAAGCTTACATCGGCTACAATGTAAGCTAGGTAAATTACACATTGCTCTTAAAGGGGTTTTGCAATTTGTAATCGCAGTAGAAGTTTACAGTCCTTCGATACGTGCCGTATGGTGTTCTTGTGGGTTTTAATGGGATTTCCTCTCACTCTTCGTTCAAGTATTGCCTACATTATAGTATACTTTACTATTATGTCGCTCGTTTGCTGCTATGTTTCCTACAACTGCCTTGTCACGGAAATAAAACAACAAATAGTTCTGGCAGCGATAGATGTAGCTATAAAGATGGAAATTTACTGACCATTGTGTGTACATGGGTGTTTGAATTGTTGTTTACTATTGTTTTATCACTAGTAAGATTTTCGATTTTTACAAAATCTTAGACCCTTTCCGCTTTCAGATTATACTCGCGTTCTTAGCTTTGATTTGTTCTGTTATGACAGTTTCATATCAATAGAGAACCAACGAAAATAAAGAATGATAAGGATAGTCTACGCTCTTGAAACGATAAAAGCAGGTACATCGTTAAAGGGAGGAATTTAACCGATTGTAAGGCAAAGTGATCCAACTTTTCAAATCATTGTAGATATGCCGGGATTTTAAACCGTTCCTCTTGGACTCGTCACATCCCACCGGACTTCTGTAACGTAGCTGAGAAAGGATAAAAGAAAGTATGTCAAAGAAAAGTGATCCAGGGCATTACCACTAAAGTAATTTTAACTTTGTACTCTTTAAAACGTGATTCTAGACAACCTTTTGCGTTAAAATGATATAGTACACTCCACTCAGATTTGTATAAAGTAAACGCAAGATTATTCATGTCAATAGTTCACATACATTTTACAAAAGAAGATTAAAAACCAAACGCCACAATGTTTCTACATTCTCCTCCATTATACTCTGGTTTATTCAAAACAAACCCATGTTTTTTTTCCAATTTTTCCACACATTTCACTATGCTGATCCACCAATTCAAGGACTAAACACCATAGCTCCAGTA